GTAGAGGGCTTGCCTAGCATATACAAGGTCTTAGATTTAATCCCCGGCACTGCAAAAACAAAAAAGAAAATGACATGGTGGATGAATTTATTAAATGTCACTTTAGGCCAGACCTGGATTCACATGCTTCTAATCCCAGCAATTTGGGAAGCTGAGGCAGAAAGATCACCGGGTCTTAGGCCAGCCCCAGCAACTTGGTGAGACCCTGTCTCAAAAAAAAAAAAAAACCAGTCCTGTAGAGTACTCCCCTCAAGATTCAATCCCCAGTCCCCATTCCCCAAAGCCACCTTTTTAACATATCATGATAATTTCTAGAAATCCCCAGAGAGATTATGATGCCTAGGGTGGTGTTTGGTTCTCTTATATACCCTTACAGGCTATTTATTGTTGTTTTTGTTCTCTGCCTTGGTGACTATGCTTAGGTTTCCAGAGGTACTATAGTCCAGTAGAGGGATTTTATCTAGTACATTTGTCTTTATTTCTGGACAGTGTCTGCTTGGACTCAGAATCTTCACAGTGAAAGTAACTAGAAATCATGTGGCTTACTGGGCACAGTGGCACACACCTGATATCCCAGCTATTTGGGAGGCTTAGGCAGGAAGATCATACATTGGGGGTAATTTAGTAAGACCCTGTCTCAAAAAAGTGTCCCTGTGCCTGTGTATGCATGTGGGGGAGGGGCGTTGCTCAGTGGGAGAGCGACCCTGGGTTCACTGCCAAGTACTTAAAAAAAAATCAAATGATCCAACTACTCACAGAAAGCATGCTCACCCTGAGCAGTGATAGATGTCAAGGTGAATATGGACATTACTTTTTGGTGATAGCATTTAAAAATAAATCACTATCTTTCACTGGTTTTGTTTTAGGGAGCAATTCTTAGCAGGGTTGCCTGTTATGGGTTACTTTATATCATACTCAGTCTTATACAGAGATGGGTTGCCCAGAAAGGATTCCACTGTGAGCACTATTTATTTTTTTGAGTGTACTAGTAGTATCACTGAGACAAAAGGCAAGTAAGAAAATAAAACCCAGAGATATCTACCAAAATGCCATGTAAAATAATGCCTGGTATTTGACCCTAACCAATTAGGATTTTATATGCTAATATTTCTCTTGATTTCTGCAGTATTAGGTGATACAGTGGCATCTTAAATTCCTTCAGTGATGCTGTTTCTGCAACTCCATAATGCATTTCATTTCTGTGGAGTTTCTCAGTCCTTATTTGAACCAGATTGATATTGTAGCATCCCGCATATTTTCCTTTGTGAGAATGTGCTCGAAAAGGTAATTGCTTTGTTGTCTTCTGGCTGCGCTACCTCAGTTCCTTTAAATCCTGTGTGGCACAATACGTAGCTCTCTTGCCCTGATGGGTTGCCTTACTCTTTTTTAAGTTATTTGTTCATATGTACCTCTTAGCTGCATTGTTAGAAATTATAGAGTTTGATAGGGCAGAGGAGTGATGTGGAAAGAAAGATGGCATAGTGCCTTCCAGTGTAGGCACTATGCCAGTTACTTCACATATATTGCCTGCCTTTTTTTTTTTTTTTTTTGATGTTCTTAGAAAATGGAGAGTGAGCTGGGTACAATGGCACATGCCTGTAATCCCAGTGACTCTGGAGGCTGAGTGAGGCATGAGATATCAAATTCAAGGCCAGCCTCAGCAATTTAGCAAGATCCTGTCTCAAAAAAATAAAAAGGGCTGGGGAAATGTTTCAGTAGAATTTAAAACAGGAAGGAGTCAGAATCAAATGTATTTTAATTTTTGGTTCTGGGGGGCACTTTACTAGTGAACCACATCCCTATCCCTTTTTATTTTGAGAAGTGTTTTAAATTAAGTTTCTGATGCTGGCATTGAACTGGCCATCCTCCTACCTCAGCCTCCTGAGTCACTGTGATTAAAGGTGTGTACAACTGCAGGGTCTCACTAAGTTGCCAGGCTTAAGTTGTACACACCTTTAATCACAGTGTACAACTGCACCCATCTTGTTTTAGATTCCTAAATGATTTGTTACTGTTTTAAGATAATTTGGCTTACAGGCTATACTAAGTTTTTAGCCAAAGTGTTAATAGGCCCTGCTGCACTGTCCTAGGCCTCCTGATTTAGAGATCAGTTCTTATCCATGGTGTTATAAAAGTGGTAAGGAGAAGTGTTGGAGTACCTTGAAACTACTGGTTGAGAAAATAAAGGTCACCAGCGATCCGAATGAGTATTGGAAGATGTACTTTGACATAATCAACAGCATCATAAGCCCAAGTGCAACAAACAATTCATGAATGAGAGCATGGCAAAATAGGATTTAAGAACAAAACAGAACAACACACCTGTAATCCCAGATACTGAGACTGAGACAGCATGATCACAAGCTTGGGCAACTTAGTGAGACCCTCTCTTGAATTGAAAAGGACTGAGGATGTAGCTCAGTGGTAGAGTGCTTGCCTACCATGGCCTTGCCTAGCAAGGCTCTGGGCTCAATCCCTAGCACCTAATATCTACTACTGTGCCTGAGACTTAAGAGCCATCTTCTCTTCCCAGGTTGAGGTCTCTGGGTAGAACTTTTTTTTTTTTATTTAAATACATACATGACAATAGTGGAATGCATTACAATCATAATTATCCATTCACAACACCATTTTCCATAACTCTATATAAAGTATGTCCTCCAAATTATACTATTATACATGAGCTTTTTTATTATTATTGTTATTGCTATTATTATTATTTGCATTATAGTTCTTAATACACCTTTATACCACTGGGTAGAACTTTTATCAAGCCTTAAAATTATATCAGTATCTCTGACATTTATTTATTTAACATTTTATTTATTTTTATGTAGTTCTGAGGCTTGAACCCAGCACCTCACATGCTAGGCAAGCACTCTACTGATGGGCCCCAGCCCCTGTATCAAACACACCCCAAAGACATACCAAAGTCACAGACCCCTTTGTCTTATGTGTGAAGTGTGGGAGTAAATGGTTTTACACTGAGCTGTTTTCCAAGGCAGTGCTTCAAATGAATAACTTGTTACTTTGAAGTATGACTATCTTGTAGTGCTTGTAATTGGTTGTTGACTTTCATTTCTAAGTCTTTTTGTCCATTTATGAAGTCAGAAATTACCTATTGGTACAAGTTTGGTAGAAACATTCCGCCAAAATTGGGTCTAAATTTGTTAATTTTATTTTTGGTGCAAGAGATTGAATCCAGAAGCATTTCAACACTGAGCCACATCACCAGCCCCCCCATATAGCTTAGGGTCTCACTAAGTTGATTAGGGTCTCAGCCTCCCAAGTGTGTCTAATTTTATTGTATTCTTTTCATAAACAAAGTAAATAGGGTTGTGTAGTGCTCAGACAGCTGGATAGCTTGTGGAAAGTAGTTTTGCAGTTAAGCAAAAGTTCAAACCTGTGTTAGTTAAAGTTAAAATCTAATAGCAGTTGGAATTAGGCTAATTATACCTCTAATTTGACTTCATTCTTATATTTTGTTATGGACTGTAATCCCAGAATACTAAGGGTCTTGATAATTATATAACCGTTTGCACCAAGATTTTTTTTTTCTTTTCTTTTCATGTATCTGGGACTGTCACATAGAAGGTTTGTAACCTCTGAAAACTTGGAGTAACCTTTTGTGGTGGTGGTGGTGGTGGTGGGGATCCAACCCAGAGCCTTGCTCATGTTGAGCACATGCTCTTAGGCATGTCTACTGAACTGCATCCCCAGCCCACCCCCATCCCCGCTGCCTTCTGGAAGGCATCTTAGATAAATGTGAATCTACTTTCTATAAATATTCAGTTCACTAGGTGCATTGTGCTTTAACATCTCCACCTTTTTGCCTACCATTTTCTGATAAATGTATGACTCTCATCATAGCACTGTCCTCTACAAGGTCAATCTACAAGTTTTCTTACTTTATACCAGCCATGTGTAGATGCATGTTATGGAACTTCTGGCCTTCCAGAACTCAAAAATCTTTTTTTTTTTTTTTTGAGAGAGAGAGAGAGACAGAGAATTTTTTTAATATTATTTTTTAGTTCTCGGTGGACACAACATCTTTGTTGGTATGTGGTGCTGAGGATCAAACCCGGGCCGCACGCATGCCAGGCGAGCGCGCTACCGCTTGAGCCACATCCCCAGCCCCAGAACTAAAATCTTTATAACCCTGCTTAGTAGAAAGAGATCGAGAAAGGACCGAAGAATTAAAAACTGAACCCCAGATAGGAGGCAGTGATAGGAAGTTGGAGGAGTCTGTTCACTTTTTGGATCAAGGTTGCCAAAAAAAAAGAAAGACTGTTATCATTTCCCTAGCCCATCCAGGACTTTATAGAAGAGATTGCTGGGTCCCACGCCCAGTGCTGATTGAGGAGGCCCTAGGTAGAGTCTGCATTTCTACAGATTCTCAGGTAATATTCCTGCTGCTGGTCTAGATTCACTTGTATTCTGTGTGGTTTTTGGAAGCTGCTTGTTACCTCCACCTATAATTCTTTTTTTTTTTTTACTTGTGGATGGACACAATACCTTTATTTTATGTATTTTTTTTCTAATGTGGTGCTGAGGCTCAAATCCAGTGCCTCACACATGCTAGGCAAACTCTCTACTACTGAGCCACAACCCCAGCCCCTCCACCTGTAATTCTTAAAGACAATTGGCAGGATGGTTTCCCTTTTCAGTCTATTTGGTTTCTATGATTTGTTTTACAGATAGAGCTGCTCTTAAGGCTAAAGTTAGTGGAAAATAAGAGGCCACCTCCCTAGGACTGTAAAATGAGGACAGTAGTCAGACTTGACCTGCAGTGATAAGATGAATGTTTAAAATCTAAATTGTTGCCTAGCTCTATGGGCAGCCTATGGTAGTACTCAAATGGTTCATTCTGGCACATGATCTAGGTATACTCTATTAATTTATCACTATTGTGTATTTACTAGAAGAATATATTAGTAGTGAATCTTTGAGGACTGGCTTTAGCCTTTTTTAATCTAGTTTTGTGGTCCTTTGTCTCACAGGTATTTTATGCATGGGGTTTGTAAGGAAGGAGATAACTGTCGCTACTCGCATGACCTCTCTGACAGTCCGTATGGTGTAGTGTGCAAGTATTTTCAACGTGGGTACTGTATTTATGGAGACCGCTGCAGGTAAGAATCTGTTTATCAATTTTTTATTTTGTTTTGATACTAGGAGTTGAACCTAGGGACACTTTATCATCAAGTGCATCCACTGCCTTTGAGATAAGGTCTTACCAAGTTGTTTGGAGCCTCCTAAATTGCTGAGGCTGGCCTCACTTGGCAGTTCTTCTGCTTCAGCCTCCTGAGTTGCTTTCTTGAGCCAGGGCTCCCAGCTAAGTTCATTTCATTCAGGGATGTGTTGGGAGAAAACAATGAAAGTAATTACATAATATTTTTTATACCTTTATTTTTGATTTATTTTTCTGTGATGCTGAGGCTTGAACCCAGTGCCACACACACTGCTAGGCAAGCACTATACCATTGAGCTACAGCTACAGCTTTTTTTTTGATGCTGGGGATCAAACCCAGGGCCTTGTGCATGTAAAGCAAACACTCTACCAACTGAGCTATATCATCAGCCCTAGATACATAATTTTATTCCACTTATTTTTTTAGTTGTTGAGGGACCTTTATTTATTTATATGTGGTGCTGAGAATCGAACCCAGTGCTTTGCACATGCTTGGCAAGCGCTCTACCATTGAGTACAACCGTAGCTCTAGATACATAATTTTAATAGCTTCATTATATAATGTATTTAAAACAGTGCTTTAGGGCTAGGTTATACTTAGTAGAAAGAGTACTTGGCCTGCTATGCAAGGGGGCCCTAGGTGTAATTCCCAGCATTATAAATAAATAAATAAAACTCCCTAGAAATGTTAGTGTATGGAAAGATATCCTAGAAGGAATGTATTACTTTTTTTTTTCATTGTTGGGAATTGAACCCAGAACTGTATGTTAGGAAAGCATATGTGTTTGTATATGGCATTTGCTTTTCAAAACAAAGAATGAGGCACATGTTTGACTAAATTAGATGGGATTCAGTCATTCTCTACTATTACGAATTATGGAGAGTGGATTCTTAGGCTTTGGAATGGTGCATTAGACTCCTCACTCCCACCCCTGTCCTGGGCACAAAACCTGGAGCCTCACACTTCATGCCTTCTACCATGCAGCTAAACCTCTAGCTGTTAGGTTACTAGTTAGAGGGCTTGTCATTTTGTCTTACTTCCTGAATCCTGTAAACTCAGGAGCAGTTACAACTTAGGGAACTCTTTCAGAAATGTCTCTAATACCTTTCTTAGAATGTTAGAAAACCAAGAGGTATTAGTTATTAAGTAATCTCTACCGTTATTCATTGAGTTCCTTACATTGGAATTCAGCAGTGGTGGGTTCTGATTAGAAACTAGGCACAGTTTTTTGTTGTTGTTATTTTAAATCTTCACTGTTAAGAAAATGTTTCGGTGTTTAGTTATCCAATGATGTTAAGCAAATTGCCCCAAAATGTAGCAGAGTAAATTAACAAACATTTATTATCCCACAGTTTTCTGGAAGTCTGAAATCTGTGAGTGGCTTGGCTGGGTTGTTCTAGCTTAGACTTTGAGGAGATGGCAGTGAAGATTTGACCATTGTGACAGTCATCTGAAGGCCTGATGGGAGTTGGAGAACAGCTTGTAAAGTGGCTCACTTTCATGGCTGGTGGCCAGGGGGCCTTCATAGGGCTGCTTTAGTATGTTTACAGCTTAGCAGCTGTCTTCTCCAGAGGCAGTGACTCCAGTGGGGGCAGGAGAAGCCACAATGCCTTTTATGACCTAGTCTCAGAAGTCACATGTTGTCACTTCTGCTAAATTCTGAACTATATCCAAACCACATTCAAGGGGAGAGGAATCAAGCTCCACCTTTTTGACAGGGATTCCTGTTATCAAAACGTTTGGACATATTTTAGATGATTATATTTGGTAAGACTTAGTGACAGTGTCATAGCCAATTCTATTGACATTAATAGAAAAAAAAGTGTCATCTATTGGGTTCATGTGCTAGAGTACAAAAGTAACAGTTTCTGCAGATGTTCTATACTAGGCTAATTATGGAGGAGCTAGATTTCTTGGACTGGGTTCCAGACAGTTGAGAACTGTTCCAACAATGACTAGGGGAGACTCTAAAGTGCCCATCAGACTGGGCCCTGTGTCGCATGCCTATATTGAGAGCTGAGGAAGTTCAAAGTCAGCCTTATAGAAACTTGTCTAGGTTATAAGGAACTTAGTGAAATTCTATCTCAAAAAAAGGGCTGGGGATACGGTTTGGTTCAGTGGTTAAGCACCCCTGGGTTAAAACCCTAGTAAACCTTTCCCCACCTCCCACAAAAAAGTGCCCAGCAGAGGGCTTTGGAGAATAAACTGGGACAGAATAGGAAAAGATACAGAAGTAGTGTTCATCTGATTGGACCATACAGGTGGAATGAATGGGAAATTGAAGGTAAAGATCGTAGAAATCTGGCCTAGGTCTACCTGTTAAGTCATTTTATTTTTCATGCAGTTTTGCAGTTCCAAAGGGCATTCTGTTTTCTCTTAGAAACTAAGTATAGAAGCCCATTTTCAGTCTTCCCCTGTATTCAGAGGGCTTCTTTGTAGGAAAGGAGACTGAGAATTTTGACCAAGGAGTGAGGAGGTGCCCTGTTTTTTTTTTTTAAGTTGTATATGGACATAATTCCTTAATTTTATTTGTGTGATGCTGAGGATCAAACCTATTGCCTCATGTGTGCTAGGCAATTGCTCTATCACTGAGCTACAACCCCGGCCCAGGTGTCCAGTTTTGATGAGGATGCAATATTTTAGCAGATGTGAGTTTCCCAATGAAGGAAATTTAGGTTTTTTGATGTCTGTGTTAATAGTAAAGAAGTGACTTTCTGTTGGGGAGGCATAGGAAGGAGATTTGCAAGTTCAAGGCAGCCTCACCAATATAGTGAGACTCTGGATTATTCAATCCCCAATATTAAAAAAAAAAGAGAGAGAAAAAAGAAAACTGAGATGAACGTGCCGAAGCAATTTTTTTTTGTAATCAATCATACATTAAGAGCCATTCTATCTACTCAGTATAAATAAAACAAGGTCCCTGCCATCAAATGAGAGAAGGTTTTTGAAAAACTTAAAATGAAGGTTTCCTCTAAGCTGGGTATGATGTTGCATACCTGGAATCCCAGTCCTTTGGGAGGCTGAGACAAAAGATTGACAAGTTCTTGGCCAGCCCGACCAACTTAGTGAGACCCTGAATCAAAACAGAAAATTAAAGGGCTGTGGGTATAACTCAGTGCTGGAGTACTAACTTAGCATGTTCAAAACAGGGCCCTGGGTTCAATCCCCACAATATAAATATACATAATTTTAAAATTATCAAACAAAAGCAAGTTTATTCTGAGATTTGAGGGCTTGGGTGGTACCAGGGATTCAACTCAGGATCTCTCCACCACTGAGTCACATCCCCAGATCTATTTTGTATTTTATTTAGAGAGTCTCACTGAATTGTTTAGCACCTCGCTTTTGCTGAGCTGGCTTTGAACTCACGAACCTCCTGCCTCAGCTTCCCCAGCCACTGGCATTATAGGTGTGAATAGCATTATTGCCCAGCTATTCTGAGATTCTGTTAATGGATAAATATAGATTAAAAAAAAATCATGGTGCTGGTCAAAAGCAGGCCCAGAGGCATGCTAGGCAAGTGCACGACCACTGAACTATATCCCCATATCCCTAGTAGTCCTTCACTGATCTTTGACAATGAAGTGAAATGAAACAAATGAAAGAGCATATTCTTTATTTTTTTGGTGCTGGGATTCGAACCAAGGGCCTTACATGCACAAGTACTCATCTCATTTATATCCCCAGCCCATGAAAGAGCCTATTCCTGATAGTTCCTTCCCCTCAGCTCATATAATTCCACCCCAGAACACAGTGCATAGGGTTTTTTTTTTTTTTTTTAATATTTATTGTTTAGTTATTGGCAGACACAACATCTTCGTTTGTATGTGGTGCTGAGGATCAAACCCGGGCCGCACACATGCCAGTCGAGCGCGCTACCGCTTGAGCCACATCCCCAGCCCAGTGCATAGGGTTTTTGAAGCTGATAGCAGGATTCTCATTTCACTTATACTTCAAGCCAAAAAAGGTTACCTAACCTAAGAGTTGGAATGTGAATGTTTGAGGTAATAGAATATAGTGATTAAATACAGAGCAGCTCAGCAAAGGTTTGCCAAATTCTTCTTTCTTAGATGTAAGCATAAATAGACCCATGGTTAATACTGTTTCATTGCGAAGGCTGTTAGGTAAGGTAGATATTTGAGAAGTTAAGATTTAGATTTAGTACATAACAAAATTAATTTATTTTGTCTGAATGAAAATAGTAGCACGAAAGCCTGAATTATCAGCATTTTTCTCAAGCAGTAAGTTCCTCCATGAAGGAAGTAATTGTTTTGTTTTCTATATTTGGAGATAGGTTTAGTGATTTACAGATTGAAAAGGGAAGAGAGACTATATGGGGCAAAAGTTTGGGAAATACTCCATGAAAGACTATGGAAAAAGGAAATAAAAGAAAGTACATATGTATCTTTTAAAGGTGATTTGTACACTTTTTTTTTCTTTTTCTTTTTTGTGGGGATTGAACCCAGGGCCTTGTGCATGTGAGGCAAACACTCTACCAACTGAGCATTACTCCCAGCCCTCAGTGTCCATTTTGGTTTGATTAATCATTCACTTGGTTTGGGATGTGGTTTCTTTAGCAGAGTTACCATGGGAACTGTAGGTTGTTAACTAGCTGAAACTTCCTGAAGAGTAATAAGTGGTTTATAGCAGGGGTGGGTGGCCTATAGGCCAAACTTGGTTAAAGGCTGTTTTTTGATTTTGTTGTTTGTTTTTGTATTGGGAATTGCACCTAGCCTTGCTCTACCACTGAGCTAGGTCCCCCGGCCTGTTTTATATTGTGAGAGTCTTGCTTGAGGCTGGCCTTGAACCTGTGATTCTACTGCCTTATTCTCCTGAGTCTTGGGGATTATAGGGGTAATCTGGCAGAAGGCTTGTTTTTTGTTGTTGTTGCTCTGCAGCTTATTTATTTCACTAAATAGTATATTTTAGACACTATTCCACATCAGCACAGCCTCACTCTTTAATGACTACAGAGTCACACTTTGTGTCACACACTTTGTGTGTGTGTGTTGGGCGGGGGTTGCTGGGGATTGAATCCAGGGCCTTGTGCATGCAAGGCAAGGACTCTACTACTGCTGAGCTATATCCCCAGCCATAACTGCTTGCTTTTTACTTTTTTTTTCCCCCCAGATATGAACATAGCAAGCCATTGAAACAGGAAGAAGCGACTGCTACAGATCTAATTGCAAAACCTTCCCTTGCTGCTTCCTCGAGTCTCTCATCCGTGGTTGGACCGCTTGTCGAAATGAATACAGGCGAAGCTGAGTCAAGAAATTCAAACTATCCAACAGTAGGAGCAGGTTCAGAGGACTGGGTGAATGCCATTGAGTTTGTTCCTGGGCAGCCCTACTGTGGACGTAGTAAGTATTCTAAAGAATAATATAATATAAAGAGGTAGTTCATCAATTAAACTGAGTTTTCACAGTCTTCCTGCTTCCAGTCTTCATATTTAGCCTAATTCTCACTTTAAATTGGATAACCTAGGACTTACAGATGGAGTGAAACAAACTTTTGCAGTGAAACAAACTTTTTGAATCCCAATAAGTAATAAATTCAGAATGTTCAAGAAAACTGATGCCTCTCTTCCATAACCTACTTTTTAATTTTATAAAAAATAACTACTTATTTTGAAATAGTATGACTCAAAAATCATATAACAAGCCTTATCTTGGAAATGTCATTATTAGAGAAAAATATCTTGAAAAAGTAAAGAAATTAAGCTGGACATGGTGGTGCACACCTGTAATTGGGATGCTAAGGCAGGAGAATCAAGTTTGAGGCCAGTCTTGGCAACTTAGTGAAACCCTGTCTCAATAAAAAGGGCCCAAAAAAGCTGGGTGTGGTGGTGCATGTCTTTAATCTCAGCTACTTGGGAGGCTGAGGGAGCAGAATTGAAAGTTTGAAGCCCACCTGGACAACGTAGTAAACCCTATCTCAACATAAAAAAAAGGGTGGGAATATAGCTCAGTGGTAGCATTTTACCTAGCATGCAGGAGGTCCTGCAGTTTAGTAGACTGTTTTGAGTTTAATTAAGTTTTTTTTTTTTTTTTTCTGTTCAGTTAGGTTTCAGTACCTTATAGTTCTTAATATGCCTTATCCTTTTGGACCTTTACTACCCTCTTACACATTTTCAGCTGCCCCTTCCTGCACTGAAGCACCCCTGCAGGGCTCAGTGACCAAGGAAGAATCAGAGAAAGAGCAAACTGCAGTGGAAACTAAGAAGCAGCTTTGCCCCTATGCTGCAGTGGGAGAGTGCCGCTATGGGGAGAACTGTGTGTATCTCCACGGAGACTCGTGTGACATGTGTGGGCTGCAAGTCCTCCACCCGATGGATGCAGCCCAGAGGTCACAGCACATCAAAGTAAGTCTTCAGGGAGATGCCTGTGTTTTCAGGTGTAAGAAGCTGTATTTACCCTTTCACAATGTCAGTTCATTTTAGAAAAGCATTTGAATTGAATGGTTTTCAGTAAGTAGAAGTGTTTCTTCTCTGAGCTTCTTGAATGCTTTATCAAGAAGTTATGCTTCTAGAGGCTAGGGATGTAGTTCAGTGGTAGAAGCCCTTGGTTAGCATATGCAAATCCCTAGGTTCAATCCCTAGCATCAAACCAAAAAAGAAACAACAAAAAAAGGTCTTGCTTCCAGAACCTCAAACTGTGGGCTTTTAAATGTTTTTCTTTTTTTTTCCCTAATAATAGCTTTTCTGAGATTAACATTCCATATGATTTACTTTTAAAATTCACATTTCAAATTGGGTATGATGGTACCCATCTGTAATCCCAGTAACTAAAGAGGCTGAGGCAGGAGTATCACAAGTTTGAGGCTAGCCTCAGCAACTTCATAAGACCCTGTCATAAAAAAGGGGCTGCGGTGTGGCTCAGTGGTAGAGTGACTCAATACCAAAAAAAGAAAAAGAAAAAAAAAAGTCCTTTTAACTATATATTGAGGGGTAGTAGGACCTACCTCTGAAGACTGTAAAAACAAAGGGTTTTAGGAATAGACAAGGGAATATATACTCACATTAAGTGGTTATGTGGGATTATGAATGGCTCTTCTGCATTTTGTATTTTCTATAATCATGTTTCTTATAGATTAAAAAAGTATTTGATGTCCACGTGAAAATTTGTAGATAGATTTTTTATAGTAGTATTATTCATAACAGTCCCCAAATGGAAACAACCGAAGTGTGTCTATCATCTGATGAATTGATAAATAAAATGTATTCCACCCAGTGTAATATTTATCAACATTAAAAAGAAACAAAATACTAAGAATATCACATAAGATTGAAAACATAATAAGTGAACAAAGCCAGTCATAAAAGACCACAGAACTGGCAAATCCACAGAACAGTGGTTGCTGAGATGGGGATTTGGGGGGTGGTGGTGGTGGTGGTGGTGTGGTGCTGGGTACTAAAACCCCCCAGGGCCTTGTGCATGGAAAGCAAGCACTCTACTTACTGAGCTATATCCCCAGCCCCAGGACTTGGGGATTTTGAGGGAAAAGAAGTAACTGCTAATGGGTATAGGATTTCTTTTTAGGGGTAATGGAAACATTCTATTATTAATTTTAAGGTAATTTTTTGTACAACTGAATATCAAAAAAAGATTTAACGGTACAATTTCTTAAAAATATGTTTTAGTTATAGAATGATGCAATATCTTTATTTTGTTTATTTTTATGTGGTGCTGAGGATCTAACCCAGTGCCTCACATGTGCAAGGCAGGTGTTCTGCCACCGAGCCTAATTGTACAGTTTTTAAATGGGTGAATAACATGGTGTGTGAATTATCTCAGTAAAGCAGTTTTTTTTTTTTTTTAAAGGCATATTAGGGCCTGGGAGTATGGCTCAGAATTATTAGAATTCTTGACTAGTAGCTGTGAGGTTCTGACTTCAGTCCCCGACACTGCCAATAAATAGCATATGAAGATTATGTACCTGGTACATGATTTCCTTTACCTTTATTTTCTGACAGTTTTTAAATTAGAATCTTAATACTGATAACATTATCCAACTAGAAGCCAGAAAATCTCTTAAGCATGAAAAACCATCTTTAACGTAGGAAAAAACAGTGGAGCTTCAAGTTTAGGATAGAGAATATAGGGTAATTTTTCAGTTTCTGGAGTTGAGTCCTCACAGTTTGATTTTACAGTATTGTGAAGTCTGATAATGTCATTTCACTTATGTTTACTTGTGAACAAAACTTACTTTCAAGTCAAATTAGGAAAACATTTCATTTAATGATTTGATTGTCTGAACATTCATGAACTGTGGAGTGGAAGTCTTTCAGGATGCTTCTCATCTCTTCCTTCTCCTAGTCTTGCATTGAGGCCCACGAGAAGGACATGGAGCTGTCTTTTGCTGTGCAGCGCAGCAAGGACATGGTGTGTGGGATCTGCATGGAGGTGGTCTATGAGAAAGCCAACCCCAGCGAGCGCCGCTTTGGGATCCTCTCCAACTGCAACCACACCTACTGTCTCAAGTGTATTCGCAAGTGGAGGAGTGCTAAGCAATTTGAGAGCAAGATCATAAAGTGAGACTCCTCCCCAATCTTCGTTTGTGCTTTCTATTTTGGGGAAGAATTTAGTACCTTGTGCCAACTTTCAACCAGATGGACCGCATTTAAATGCATGCATTTTATCTTGAAATTGGGGTACTCTAATTGGGATTTCTTCTTTGTATTTCAGCTAGCTGCTAGGTTAGTTGGTCTACTTTTATTTGAATGAGGAAACCCTATGTATCAGTTAGTAGAATCTTTGTGCTTTTTCTGAGGAGACTGTGTTTAATGGATTAGCCAGTTTAGGCTCTGTGAACAAACTTATCTAGCTCTGAATGTATGTTTCCTGACGTTTTACATTTTCCACTTTTCCTATTCCATCCATTAAGCTAGCCAATAATCCACCATCCTTTAAAGATTGTTCTCATAACTGAACAAATACTACATAATCTAAACAGAGCAAAGTTACAAGAAATAAATTTATTTAAACGAAAGAAAAAGGAGTCTGTGTGAAATGTCTTCTTTTGTTTTGTTTTTTAATCTAAGTTATTTTAAAAAAATGAACTGGCTAGCCATTGACTTGAATTTATGAAGGACTTTGTCTTGCCTTCAAAGAAAGGGTCAGTTGTTTGACAGTATGTGGAACCCTTTCAGGAAATGCCCATGTGCCTCTCAGTTAAGCCCTTAAGTCTGGAGGTGACACACCAGGGTGTGTCCTTAAGAGTGGGTCTGTAAAGGGGGATTTGCATTGCAGCCTGTTCATTGTTTCCCAGGTCCTGCCCAGAATGCCGCATCACATCTAACTTTGTCATTCCAAGTGAGTACTGGGTGGAAGAGAAAGAAGAGAAGCAGAAACTCATTCAGAAATACAAGGAGGCAATGAGGTATGAGCACTGCAGCCTTTTCTCAAGCCGAGAGCCCAGCAGCTTGGGTTCACTTTGGAAGATCAGTGCTGCATTACACACTCCTACCTCCTTCCTACCCTTTCTTTTGCTTCCCAGTACAGTTTATTTTGTCACCCTCATACCACTTACCCACTTTGTATCTTGCTGTATAACACAGTCCTTGAGGTACCTGCCAAGGGACTGCGTTATAATGATGTCTCTACTGTTGATAGCTAAAGACCATGAATGGGTTTTACCTTATTCTGAGTCATGTCATAGTTGTCCTATATTAATTTTTACATGTTGGCTTTCTAGAAGATTTTCCTTTCTATTGGAACGTGATCCTTGAGTTAGTAAACAGCATAGATTCGAACAGTGACTTTGTGTTAGTGTTTCATGCTTTAGCACACGTTTATAAAAACACACTTTGGGGAGGGCTGTGAACTGATATCCGGGTTCTACCCTTACTACCTGTTTAAAGAAACCCTGGATATAGGCCTGAAGTCCACTGTGAATAAGGGTTGCGATATTTTCCTTTCCAGCAACAAGGCGTGCAGGTATTTTGATGAAGGACGTGGGAGCTGTCCATTTGGAGGGAACTGTTTTTACAAGCATGCGTACCCTGATGGCCGTAGAGAGGAGCCACAGAGACAGAAAGTGGGAACATCAAGCAGATACCGGGTAACTCTCGCTGTTTTTCTAAAGAAGGGGAAATTCCACGATCAGTTGAGTCTGAACACTGGGGAAGGAAGGGGGAAAGCCAAGATTAGCACTCAGAGCTGGGAGTGAGACTGGAGGAGAGGATGAAAGGAGGAGGCAGACCTTGGAAAACTGGGAGGGATAGGAAAGGAAAAAAAAGACAGTGTGGAAGGCCCTAGCCTAAACTGTTGGCAACAAGTACCCAGAGGGGAGGATTGGTAAGATGGATCGTAAGTAAGAAGTCTGGTTCGTCATGCCCTCTGTGTGCTGGATGGTTTGCCTTATAAGCAACAGAATAGAAGACACTACTCAGCAGTGCTACCCCTATCATGGCCTTGTTTTTTACAGGCCCAACGAAGGAACCACTTCTGGGAACTCATTGAGGAAAGAGAGAACAGCAACCCCTTTGACAACGATGAAGAGGAGGTTGTCACCTTTGAGCTGGGCGAGATGTTGCTTATGCTTTTGGCTGCAGGTGGGGACGACGAGCTGACAGACTCTGAGGACGAGTGGGACTTGTTTCACGATGAGCTGGAAGATTTTTATGACTTGGACCTATAGCAGCTTTGAGTGGCACGGGAACTGGTCTGCGAGCCTCAGACAGTAGCTGTCCCCTGTGCCGCGTGGCAGTGCGTGTTGCTCTCCTAGGCAGGCCTCTCCACTCCAGGTGCTGTCGTGATCACTTACCCAGGGCCTGCTGCTCCCCTCCCCTTTCCCCAAGGAGTGTCTGTTTTCTCTGTTTCAAAAAGTTACAAAAATAAATCTTAAAGTTAGTTTTTTTGTAACATGAATTTAACTGTCAGACAGTTAGGGTAGGTTTGTTGCGTCATCTGTTTTCAGCCAGGTTGTATCTATGGACTTTCTGCACTCATTTCCAGGACCCCAGGTTCAGGAGCAAAAGCACCAGCCGTGCTTTGGGGTCCAAGAGTAGGGGTGACGGGTGAAGGCACCTAAGCTGGCTGGCAAGTAGCCTTCTGCTTTTGTATCAGTTCCCTCCCCTATAATCCCCTCCACCACATGCTTGCTTGTTCTGTGGTTTTGGTCTCTTGTTTAATTGCACATAAGGGGTACTACTGGGTAAAGAGAACCAGGTGTGAATGTATTGACTTTAGCATGCTGGGAACATTTGAAAGAACACATGAAAGATAAGTGGCACACCATTAGTGCAGGATTGGCAGTTGACTCCCAAGGGCTTGGTGTGAGCATGAGCTTCCTGTCCCTGCATAGATAGTCTTTTTAGCCTTAGTGGACAAACTTGGTTTAGTGGTTTCAGCCTCATGTGGCAGGTAGATCTTAAAGGGCAAAGCAGTGTGTTGGAGATAGTTGCTATAGCAGCGCAAGCTCTGTCTATATGCTAGAGGAATGGGGTCAGCCATAATGGATAAATGACTGGTTATCCCATGTATCAACAAAGACTGGGTCTTGGATGCACAGTTTTACTTAATGTTTCATGGTGTAGCCTTTCCAGTCCAGGCACTTTTGGAAAAACTTTTGTCCTCTGTTTGAGGGGTTCTGTTGTCAGGTTTTTGTGTTTGTTTTTGTGGGTATTGCCTCTTTCCACCCCTGAGCTTTGCAGGTAGATGGAAGTCATTCAAAACTATGTTCTAAGGTGTTTATTGTAGTGGAGTGATTGGTTTGCGGTAATAAGTCACACTTTTTTTCCACTAAAGGGGAGGGCGTGGTAATCCACAAGACAAGCTGAAGTTAAGTTGTTAGAATTCCTTGATGGGAAAGTTTACCTTTGCATTTTGTTGCTTTGTTTCCTGAAAATAACTTGGGAGATGCTCCTGATTTGTCCATCTACTGCTTTGGTTCCTTGGATCCCACTCATTCTTTCACTTTAAGAAAAAACAAGTAATTGTTGCAGAGGTCTCTGTATTTTGCAGCTGCCCTTTTGTAAGAAGCACTTTTCCCAAATAAAACAATTAAAAAAAAAAGTTGACTGTTTTGTGTAATGAGCTATTTCAAAACATGCAGGTATCAGAAAATAATATGTTCCTTTCATTGACTCTCTCATCAGTTCCTCACCCACATTTCTGTGGGTATAGATTCACTGAGAAAGTGACACCTTCTTAAGTCATCTAGCCTGCTGGGAAATGTTTGGGAGACACAGGGGAAGCTTACTGGCTGGCACCATCCAGTTATTCTCCTGTGGTAGAATCTGCAGGACTGACTGACTCTAGGCTGCCTTGGTCAGCAAAAGGCTCTGTGGCTTTCCTGGTACCCTGTGCTTGTAGTGGATCCTGCTTCATTTCCTAAGTAAGTCACTTACAAGTCACCACATGATTGGTTTTTGGTTTTGTTTTTGTTTTGTACCAGGGATTGAACTCGGGAGCACTTGGCCACTGAGCCACATCCCCAACCCTATTTTGAATTTTTATTTAGAGACACGGATCTCACTGAGTTGCTTAGGGCCTTGCCATTGCTGAGGCTGGCTTTGAACTCATGATCCTCCCGCCTCAGCCTCCCGAGCTACTGGGATTACAGGCATGCACCCCTGCACCCAGCTCATAATTGACATTTTGAAAGAATATTTTTCTTCATAATTATTTTGTGAGTTTCTTTGTTTTTTTTTTTTTTCAGGACTAAGGATCAACCTCGTGGCTTTGAGCATGCTAGGCAGCAAGGGCTCTGCTACTGCAACCCATGTGAAGGTTTTTTTTTTTTTTTTTTTTTAATGAATTAAAGCCAGATGTGGTGGATACACACCTGTAATCCCAAGCAACCTGGAAGGCTGAAGCAGGAGGATCACAAGTTCAAGGCCAGCCCCTGCAACTAAGGGATCCTGTATCAAAAATTAAAAATGGCCTGGAGGGTGCAGCTCAGGTGTAGAGTGTGTGCTTAGTATGAGTGAGGCCTTTGGTTTCATTCCCAGAGGCACAAAAAGAAAAGAAAAATGGAATGGAAACTATTCTTAAAAATACAGTCACATTTGCAGGGGGCTGGGCAGTGCTGGGGATAGGCCTCATGCCTGCTAGGCAAGTTTTCTACCACTGAGTTACACCCCCAGCCCAATTTATATTCTTATGTAAAAAATAGTACCTTCAAAAACTAGTTAAAAGGATTCATTGAGGGGTTGGGGATGTAGATCAGTTGGTTGAGTGCTTGTCTCTCATGCATAACGTCCTGGGTTTGATCCCTAGCACCAAAATAAGCAAGTAAGTAAGTAAATAAATAAATAAATTTAGAAAAAGATTTATTGAATTAGTATGCTACAGTGCTGGGCACATAACTAATTACTCTATTACTCTATTGTTTTTGGGGTGAGGCATTTGAGATTTATCCTTGGCTATTTGAGTACAGTTATTAACTGTAGTCACCCTGCTGTGCAAAAACTTGATTCTTGCTGGGCACAGTGGCGCACCCCTGTAATCCCAGTGACTCAGTAAGCTGAGTCAGGAAGATTGCAAGTTCCAGGCCAGACTCAGCAACTTGAGGCCCTAAGCAATTTAGACTGTGTCTAAAAAGTTAAAAGGGTGCATGGGCAGCTGGGTATACAGTTAAGTGATAAAACTCCTCCCCTTCCCCAAATCCAAAAAACTAGATTTGATTCCTCCTGTCTAACTGAAACTTTGTACCCTTTACTACATTATTACTTTTGGTACTGAACCCAGAGGTGCTTTTCTGTGCTATATTCATAGCCCTTTTTATTTTATTTATTCTTTTTTTTAAAGAGAGAGAGAATTTTCAATATTTATTTTTTAGTTTTCGGCGGACACAACATCTTTGTTTGCATGTGGTGCTGAGGATCGAACCCAGGCCGCACGCATGCCAGGCAAGCGCGCTACCGCTTGAGCCACATCCCCAGCCCGACATAGCTCTTTTTAAATTTTTTTTCCAGAAGGTCTGGCTAAGTTACTAAGGGCTCACATTTACACATACAAATGAGTTTGTGTTGTATTTGTCTTCCTGTGCCTTGCTTATTTCTTTTAGTGTAAACTCTACCAGGTCCATCCATGCTGTTGCAAATGGCAGGATCTCATGAACCTTCCTTCTGAGAACCCTCAGAACTTGATATTTCCCGCCATGATTCTTTCATTGGCAGTTTGAGGGGTGGCACCAACCAGGGCCTTCTTAAGGCTGGGCATAGGCAGGGTTTCTTCCATGGGAAAATACTGTCTCTAACAGAAGTTAAACAAGTTTTGTTTTGTTTTTGGGTTTTTTTTGCATTTTCAGGTAACATGAGTTTTTCAAGAATTCCTTTGTGTTATATTTGTGCCAAGGTATGGAAAAGAAAAGGGTTTTATTCTCAAGGGACGAGTAGAACATAGGGGGAAATGTACCCCTTTTCCTCTGGGTGGTGTAACCTAAAATATCAAGTATGTCTAGGGACCAGGGTTCAGCTCTGGCCCCATTCTCTGATGTCTGATGGGCAATGGTGAAGATGATTTCACATTGACTTTGTCTTGCTTTATACTTCCAAAAGATTTTCACAGCCATCCCCTTTTTTGTGCCTGATGAGAGTTTGAGAGTTCATGGTCTAGAGTGCAGTTTAGTGGCAGAGCACATGCTTAGCATGCATGTGCTCAATCCCCAGTACTGCAAAATTCAAAAACAAAACAAAAAACAGTGAAGCAACCACATCGAATCCACAGCAAATGGAATCCAAAGAGGATCACGTAATCAAGGACAGCTGTGGCTCAAGCCCAGGGCTGGGGTCACCTGCTCAGCATAATCACTATTGACCATTTACCAGGCTGGGTCAGTCCTGAAGGGTGGAACAGAGCTGCCAAGACCTGTGTGAGCTTCTAGACTGAACACAGGGGTGGGGCAGGGCATGTGCACACCAATGTATGCACCTGAGCACAGGAGGCCCCTGTTGGCCACTGACTGAGGAAGACAGTCTTTTAACTGGGTAGGAAGAATTTGGCAGTGGATGGGGGGTAACTCACAGACCTCTAATATAAATTCTTACTTTTCTCTGGAAACTGGGAGTTTGGCAGGCGTTCTCAAAGCTTCCCCTTTGTGAACAAAGGTGGAGGAGGGAATGAGAAAGGTGCTGATGGGAGGGGCTGCAACTCCAGCAAAAATGAGGTCATGTGGGGGCTGGGGTCGCGGCTCAGTGGTAGAGCGCTTGCCTTGCATGTGTGAGGCACTGGGTTTGATTCTTGGCAACTCATAGAAATAAATAAAACAAAGGTCAGTCAACAGCCAAAAAAATGAGGTCCAGAACTTCTGTGGGATTTAGCATAACTGCTCAGGTGCTTAAGTGAGGTGTGGAGCCCTCCCATCACCCAAGACCGGATGTGAAGGCCTATGGATATATGTCTCCCAGGATGTCCCAGGCTGGAAGGACAGCTGTCCTAGAGCGGGGCTTCAGGGGTTCCTAGAAGATTGCCCTTTCCCCCTGATGTCCTTAACTTCCAAAGAGCTGAAAGTACTGGCTGAAGGCCCAATTCAGGGGCACTTGTCCACTGAGCCAGGTCCCCAGCCTCACTGAGTTGCTTAACAGCTTGCTTTTGCTGAGGCTGGCTTTGAACTCCTGTCTTAGTCTCCCTAGCTGCTGTGTACACCTGCACAATTCAGGGTTTATCTCTGGGTTTGTTTGTGTGATTATGCAAATCTGCAAATGCCTCAGAGGGCTGGGACCTCAGGCTGTCACTGGCCTATGGAGGAAAGGAGGAAAGCTCCTATAGAGACTGGGGTCCCAGCTGTGTTCCACAGCAGCTGGCAACCAGAGGCACCTTTGACAAGTCATTCATTTTGGGACACATACTGAACAGGTTGGCTGAACTAGGAATGGAGGTGCTCAACGGGAGGAGTGAAGACTTGCAAGACACAAAGTTTCTAAAAGGTACTTAAGGTACCTTTTAGAAACTTTGTGTCTTGCAAAGTTAAAAGGAAAAGTGCTTGGTGTTTTGGAAGGCAGAGCAGGGGGAAGGCACTGCCCTTCATCTTGGGGGATTTAGTATGTTGGTGAATCCTGAAGGTCAGAATTTAAGATTGAACTCCTAGGGGCCAGGAAATGTCTAAGGGAGCTAGAGGACACCTCCGGGGCTGCAGTGGGCTGGTGGGAGGAAGAAAGGTGGTCTTAAAGACTGACTTCTGGGCTGAGAGTGAGCTGGGTAGTATTTGGGGGTGCATGCTTCTCCACCACCATCTGTACCAAAAGGTTTAGCCTTTTAAACACGAAGCTGAGATACTCAGAGCAGAGCAGGGAAAGGAAGGGATGGCCAGCGACTTCTGGGAGAAAGGATATGGGGACGTCCCAGGTTAAGTGCAGCATCCTGCAGTTGGGTACATCTTCTCTGTAGCACTGAGTCAAAACCAAGAGTGTGTTCCTTTCCGGTGCCTTCTCATCATTTCTGACCCTCACAGGCGACTCTGCAACTGTCAGCTGCAGTCATCAGCAGAGACAGGTGCCTCTGCCAGATGAATAGCCATTGCTCACTGGGGTATCAGACACTTGAGGTTGAGGGGCCCTGGCCTACTGCCTGCTCTGGAATCCCCTGCTGCCTGGATCCTGCCTGGCCAACCTTATGTGTTTAGTTCTGAGAGCAAGGATCTATTCCCCCACCAGCTCCAAGGATCCAGCTGCTCTTGGACCACATCTTAGAGAAGAAGTGATACAACACTAGTTTTATAATCCTCTATGAGCCAATTTAATTTCAATTCAGAATTGTTTTTTTTAAATATATATATTTTTAGTTGTCAATGAATCTTTATTTTCTTTATTGATATGCGGTGCTGAGAATCGAACCTAGTGCCTCACACATGCTAGGGCAAGCGCTCTGCCACTGAGCCACAGCCCAGCCCCAGAATTGATTTCTGATCCAGTAGATGTTTTAGAAATTCTAGGCATCCCTCATATCCTTATGGTCGCAAAGGTGCCCCATCAGCCCAACCCAGACCAAGTGGGACTCGATTCCATCTCCCTCAGGTGGGTGGTTCCTGGCAGTTCTGCAAGACACTGTTGCTTGTATTTAGGTAACAGGACTTGCTCCCCAGGGCAGACTGAGGGGTGAATGTTGGGGGAAACATGACAACAGCATTTTGGTTTTTTCATGGCAGGCTTTCTCCCATTTCCCTGCCCGAGCTGTAGAATGTTCCAAACATCCTCTCCTGTTTTTCCTTCACTATCTTCAAGTTGAGAAGCGAAATTCAGGGGAAAGCAGTTGACCTGGTGGGATGGGGGTGAGGCAGAAAAGAAGGGAAATGCAAACCTTGACCTTCCCCTGTATAAGTTCAAATTTTACTAGGAGTTAAGAAAGATGATGGTGTTCCCTTGGAGTCTGTGGTGTGAGTCAAGGCAGAAGTGCTGTTCCTTCAGGCTGGAGGGATCAGGGGTCAGTGGCAAGGCTACATTTGTCCTGCAGTGCTACACAGGGGACACTGGGTATCTGACTGCCTCTGCTTTCCAAATTGGCCTCACCCACGTATTCAGCAGGTGCAGTGGCTCTTCTCACTCGGACCCTGGGCTATAAGAACTGGACTGGAGTCTGTGAGCAGACTGTGCAGGCTGCCCTCCCCATACAGGTGCAGGCTGTTGCGGGCAATCAGCTCCTTGGCCATCAGCACGAAGACTTCATCTATGTTCTTGGACTCCTTGGCGGATGTTTCCAAAACTGCCAAGAGGCCATACTTCTCAGCCAGTGTGCAGGCGTCCTCGAACAGGACGTGCCGCTTTTCCCACAAGTCACATTTGTTTCCTGAAAGTGAAAGAGACATTCCACTGAGAATCTCACCTCTCTCCCCAAGGCCTCACAAGAGGTAGCCAAGTGCTCTACCATGAAGCTATGTCCGCAGTCCTCAAAGTGAGCTTTAAAAAGAACATTTGACTTCAGCAATTGCGCACCCATTCACAAATTGCTAACTGAGGGCGAATGTACTGTGGGTGAAACCACAGGTGGGTGCAAGTGGAGCCACTCTCTCCAGATAGTGTGGTAGTGGGGGCACACCCTGTAATCCCAGTGACCCTGGAAGCCAAAGTCGGAGGATTGCAAATTCAAAACCTGCCTCAGCAACTTAGTGAGGCACTAAGCAACTTAGACTGTCTCAAAAAAGATAAGAAGGGCTGGGGATGTGGCTCAGTGGTTAAGCCCCCCAAGATTCAATCCCCTGTACCAAAAAAAAAAGGCGGGTGGGCACAGGCAGGAGGAGTGTGTATTACTGGCTGGAAGAGGTAGAGCTGTCACTCCTCCCTGACAAGGAACAAAATGAACCAGAATGCCTCTCAGACTAACCTCCTCCTTCAAATCTTGATCTCTTTTCACTCATTTTCCCCCAAACTACAAAGTGTTGGATGCTGTGAGGTGGGCCCCATCTGGTTGGGGAGATGGTGATTTGTTGGGTTGGAGGTGCACACTGAAGGACTTTTTAAGCTATAATTTTACATACAATAGCATGAACAACCTTTCAGCATACAGTTTTGTCAGACTGCATCCGCCTCTGTAAGCACCAGTGCCTGCAGGATGTGGAGCATTTACCTTACCCAAGGGAGTTCCATGACAGGCTTTGGGAGTGAGACCTAGGATGGCCTATAGAAGGAAAAATACCCTGGCTCTTCTCTTCAATGCATATGCTTATCAAATTATCTGAATGTGGAATGTGGAAGTAAAATTGTTTTCCCACAGGATTTATTCCACTAGACATCAAGATTTATCACAGCTGTGCTGGGGTTGTGGCTGAGTGGCAGAGCACTTGCCTAGCATATGTGAGGCACTGGGTTTGAGCCTCAGCACCACATAAAAATAAATAAAATAAAGGTATTGTGTCCAAGATCACAAGTTCCAGGTCAACCTGGGTGACTTAGTGAAACCCTATATCAAAAAGGGCTGGGGATGTAGCTCAGTGGTAGAGTGCCCATGGGTTCAACTTCCAGTATCACAAAGAAAGAAAAAAGATTTATTACAATATTATTATTTTTTATCTAAATAAAATATAAAACAGGGCTGGGGTGTGGCTTAGTGACAGAGCACTTGCCTAAAATGTGTGAAGCTTTGAATTCAATTGCCAGCACGCCATAAGAGATACAGGCTCAATGCAATTCCTATCAAAATCTCAATGGCATTCCTCATAGAAATAGAAAAAGCAACCATGAAATTCATCTGGAAAAATAAGAGACCCAGAATAGCCAAAGCAATTCTAAGCAGGAAGAGTGAAACAGGTGGTATCGCTATACCAAACCTTACACTATACTACAGAGCAATAGTAACAAAAACAGTATGGTACTGGCACCAAAACAGGCTAGTAGACCAGTGGTACTGAATAGAAGACACAGAGACTAACCCACAAAATTACAACTACCTTATATTAGACAAAGGTGCCAAAACCATGTACTGGAGAAAGGATAGCATCTTCAGCAAATGGTGCTGGGAAAACTGGAAATCCATAGTCAACAAAATGAAATTGAATCCCTATCTCTCACCATGCACAAAAGTTAACTCAAAATGGATTAAGGATCTAGGGATTAAACCAGAGACTCTGCATCTAATAGAAGAAAAAGTAGGCCCTAATCTCCATCACGTGGGGCTAGGCTCCAAATTCCTTAATGAGATGCCTACAGCACAAGAATTAACAAATGGGATGGATTTAAACTAAAAAGTTTTTTTTTTTTTTTCTCAGCAAGAGAAATAATATGTGAGGTGAATAGGGAGCCTACAAATTTTTACCCCTCACACATCAGATAGAGCTCTAATCTCTATAAAGATATACAAAGAACTCAAAAAGCTAAACACTAAAAAAAACAATAACCCAATCAACAAATGGGCCAAGGACCTGAACAGACACTTCTCAGAAGAGGATATACAATCAATCAACAAATATACAAAAAAATGCTCATCATCTTTAGCAATCAGATAATTGCAAATTAAAACTACTCTAAGATACCATCTCACTCCAGTAAGAATGGCAGCCATGATGAAGACAGACAACAACAAGTGCTGGTGAGGATGCGGGGAAAAAAGGTGCACTTATACATTGCTGGTGGGACTGCAAATTGTTGCAATCAATTTGGAAAGTAGTATGGAGATTCCTTGGAAAACTGGGAATGGAACCACCATTTGACCCAGCTATTCCTCTATGACTAAAGGACCTAAAAACAGCATACTACAGGGATACAGCCACATCAATGTTTATAGCAGCACAATTCACAATAGCTAAACTGTGGAGCCAACCTAGATGCCCTTCAATGGATGAATGGATTAAAAAATGTGGCATGTATACACAATGGAATATTACTCAGCACTAAAAAATAATAATATCATGGCATTTGCAGGGAAATGGATGGCATTAGAGCAGATTATGCTAAGTGAAGTTAACCAATCCCAAAAAAACAAATGCCGAATGTCTTCTCTGATATAAGGGGAGTGACACAAAATAGGGTAGGGAAGAAGAGCAGGGGAAGAAGACTATCTCTACATAGGGAAGAGGGGTGGGAAAGAAAGGGAAGGAGAAGGGGAATTGCAAAACACATGTATGAAGATATGAGAAAAGAAAAAGAAAAGCGTTACCTTAGATTAGGTAGAGAGAAGTGATGGGAGGGGAGGGGAGGGGATGGGGGGATAGGAAGGATAGTAGAATGAAACAGACATTATTATTACTGTGTGTATATATGTGGCTGCATGACCAATATGATTCTGCAACCTGTACACTCAGAAAAATGAGAAATTATATCCCATCTTATTCAAATATATGATATGTCAAGGTCAGTGTACTGTCATGTGTAACTAATTAAAACAAATAAAAAAATTAGAGAGATAGATAGATTGGTTTTTCACTCAGCATAATTCTTTTTTTTTTTTTTTTTTGGTACCAGGGATTGAACTCAGGGGCACTGGACAACTGAGCCACATCCGCAGCCCTGTTTTATATTTTATTTAGAGACAAAGTCTCACTGAGTTGCTTACTGCCTTGCTTTTGCTGAGGCTGGCTTTGAACTTGTGATCCTGCCTCAGCCTCCCAAGCTGCTGGAATTACAGGTGTGCACCACCATGCCCAGCAGCATAATTCCTTTGAGATCTGTTAGAGTCTGTAAACAAGTCTGGATGGCGCCTGGCATTTTGCCAGAGGGAGTGGTTTGTGAAGTAAGGCCAGCGAGCCATTAAGTGTGGAGATTTCTTATTGGTTGACTGGTGTATCTATTTTATGTTAATTAAGATAAGCTGTGTGGAATGTATATATACCACTCCTGTTCGACAATAAACGGCTTCCACTCCTGCTGTATCAATCTACACAAGTTGCTCGTCACCCCCCGCCCCCGGTTATTTTGCTGCAGCCGGACTGCGGCAGAGATCCATCTAGATTGCTGCATGCATTGGTAGTTCATTTGCCCATTTTCAATGTAATAGTAATAGTTTTTATTGCTTAGTAGTATTCCAAACACAAACTGTTTCATCATCTATTTATTTTAGTTGCTTTTGTTTTTTGTTTTGTATTTTGGAAGTTTGTTTTATTGTTTGTTTGTTTTTGTACCAGGGATTAAACTCAGGGCTCACGCTCACTTAACCACTGAGCCACATCCACAGCCTTTTTGTGTGTGTGTGTGAGGTGCTGGAGTTTGAACCCAGGGCCTTGTACATGCAAGGCAAACATGCTACCAACTATATCCCCAGCCCTCACAGCTCTTTTTTTGTATTTTATTTAGAAGCAGAGTCTCACTGAGTTGCTTTGTGCCTCACTTTTGCTGAGGCTGGCTTTGAACTCGAGATCCTCTTGCCTCAGCCTCCCAAGCCGCAGAGATTACAGGCATGTGCCACTGCATTAGGCCTCCATAGACTTTTGAGGGGCACTTAAGATCTAACTGTTGCCTAGTATGTTGGTGCAAAGGATTATTATATAAATCATGCAAAAGAATAAATCACACCTGTATGCAACAAAGAGGATGAATCTCATGAACAATATCGAGGGGAAGACATTCTGTATGATTCTGATATAAATTTTATATTTTGATATAAAATTTAAAGGCAATAGCAAAACAAAACTGCAGTATTTAGGGATATGGATTCAGGAAGTAAAATGATAAAGAGAAGCAATGGTTTTCATGAAAGTTAAGTTTGCTCACCTTCTGGAGAAGAAAAGGGGAATAAGTGGGGGGGCATGAAGTCTAGCTGGGGGAGTCTGTCTGGCAATGTTCTCTTTCTACTAGGAAATAACACCTACCTTTTATTGAGTGCTTAGCACTGAACTAAGTGATTTGTAACTGTTGACTAATTTAATCTTTCTTTTTAAATTTAATTATAGATGGACAGAATGCTTTTATTTTATTTGTTTATTTTTATGTGGTGCTAAGGATGGAATCCAGTGCCTCACACATGCTAGGCAAGTGCTCTGCCACTGAGCTACAGCCCCAGCCTAATTTAATCTTTTTAATGTAACAAAACCTTCAGAGCAGGTTCTAGAATGGGAGTTTTATAGGTGAGGAAGTAGAATTCAGAGTAAGAAGCCCAAGTTCCAACAGATAGGACAGAGAGGGAAACTGAAACTCACATCTGGCCCCAAAGTCCAGGCACAAAGGCATAGATGTGGCCTCAATCAGAGCTTTCAAGAGCCCTGACTGACTGGGTCTCATCAGCTGTTGGAGAATAGTCATAAAGGGGCTGAGCCCACCAGTGGCTCTGAGAACCAATGCTCTGGCTCCAATCTTGCTGCACTTGTAAGTAATAGCGCTAAGTTACCTGCCTGCACACTTATCCTCCATTCCCTTCTCTAGGAAATGTGGACTGTAGTCTCCACTGTTAGGGTTGTGGTGAGGATTCATGGAATAATCCAGGAGTGAACTTAGACCAGAGCCTTCTAAGTGTTTTATGAGTGTCACCTGTACTCTATCTTCCTAGCACTGTCCTGTCCTGCACCCCTGGGGGCCATTGCTCATAGGAAGCAGTTGTTGTGCAGCTTGCTGGGAACTAAGTGATTTGTATCTGTTGCCTAATTTAATCTGGAAACCCTGGTGAGCTGCCCACTTGGTGCTTTGCAGAAACGTTTGTTGAAGAAGACATATGGACCCTTTCCAGGTGCATTTTTATCTTCATAACTCTGAACTTTGTCACTGTAAGTGCCCTATCAGAAGTCATAAGTTCTGGTCCTGAAGGGGACCTTTGAGAAGAGAGGTGGCCTCTCACTCCTTTCCAGAACAGATGAGGACCCTCTATGCAGAAATCCCCTCCCTGGTCCATGGATGTGGGAAAGGACACATTCCAAAAAGAGGGAACTACATGTGGGGGGCATTCCCTTTGGCAGCAGACTGTGGAATCAGGCTCTGGGTCTGAGGCAGCAGGCAAAGGCGAGCAGTCCAGGCTTTAGTTATTCAGTGAGGAGAAGCAGAATGAGTTAAGCAGCAACACTATCCTCAAATCTGGGCATGAGACAGGCCAGAGTGGGAGTCAGGACATAGCTGGGAGTGTACTCAGTGGTAGAGCATTTGCCTAGCCTGCTGGAGGCCCTGGGTTCCATCCCTAGCACCCCAAAACAAAACAAAACAAAAAGAAAAACTCCAGCAAAGACCTAAGGAATAAAGGTTCTGAAATGCAAATCCTTTCTGGACTCATGAAAGTAATAAATCTGTACCAACAACAGGCCAATGACCTCTTCAAGGCAACAGCCCATCCACAAGTGGGTTTTGTGTCCTGTGACCTTCTCTTCCCCTGGGGTCCAGTCACTGGGTCTGGCTGGGCTCCCTATTCCAGGCCAGTTTATCTTATGGCCTGGACCATGCTTTGCCATGAAAAGAGGAGTAGAGCAACAGGATTCCTTCCTAAGGAAGTGAGACGGGAGATACTGAGAGGATGGGCTTTTTTAGCAGAGCAGGCCTGGGAGGATGCTTTGAGGGAATCCATGAGGGACTGTCCAGCTGTGAAAGAACGTGTTTGGCCCAGGTTATCCCATGTGTGAGAACCAGCTCTGAGTCAGAGAACACAGCTGCATGTAGAGGGCAAGGGGGCTGGTTTACAGGGCAAGGGGAGGGTGGGCCCAGAGCCTAGACCTTGGTCCAGTCCTGAGAAGGGGATCCTCAGCCTCTTACTTTTTATTTATTTATTTTTTTTTGGGGGGGGGTACCAGGGATTGAACTCAGGGGCACTCAACCACTAAGCCACATCCCTAGCCCTATTTAGAGACAGGGTCTCATTGAGTTGCTTAGGGCCTTGCTAAATCACTGAGGCTGTTTTGAACTGGTGTTCTCCTGTCTCAGCCTCCTGAGTTTCTGGGATTACAGGTGTGCACTACCAAGCCCAGGAGCCTCTTGCTTTTTGGTAGCCTAATTCTCTATGGTCCTAGCCCTAGCAGGGCTTGACTGCTTGGCTTTTCCCATGCATTTCGACCTTTTACATAAGCCATTGTTATTATTATTATTATTTATGGTGCTGGGCATCCCTACTGTTATTAATTAAACATTTTTTGGTGCTGGGGATTGAATCCAAAGCTACTGTAGCACTGAGCTAAGTTTCCAGACCTTTTTTATATTTTTATTTTGAGACAGGGTCTTGCTAAGTTGCCAAGGGCCTTGCTGAGGCTGGGCTCAAACTTGGAATCCTTCTGCCTTAGCCTTCAGAGCCACTGGAATTACAGGTGTGCACCCGGCAAGGCCCCTGTTATTTGGGGGCCATAGATAAGTTAGTTCCTTCAAACAAATGAACATTCTAGAAACAAATCCTACTCTTTATTAAGCGCTTACTATGTGCCATAGCATTGTACTTATGTACATCATCTCTTTCTTTTTTTTTCTTACTGGGAATTAAACTCAGGGCCTTGAGTATGCTAGTCAAGTACTTTACCACTGAGCGACACCCCCAGCCCTTTCTTGAATTTTATTTTGAGATAGAATCTCACTAAGTCACCCAGGCTGGTCTCCAACTTGGAATGCTCCTGCTTCAGCCTCCTGAAAAGCTGGCATTACAGGTGTGCATCATCATGCCCAGCTCATTAAATTTTTATTTTATTTTATTTTTGTACTGGGAATTGAATCCAGGGTGCTTTACCACTAATCGACTTTCTCCAGCTCATATTATTATTAATTAAAAAAAATTTTTAGTTGTCAATGGACCTTTATTTATTTATATGTGGTGCTGAGAATCGAACCCAGTGCTTCACACATGCTAGGCAAGTGTTCTACCACTGAGCAACAACCCCTCAAACTTGAGATCTTCCTTCCTCAGCCTCCCATGGGTTCATTAAATCTTTACAATACTACTAAGTCCTTTTTTTTTTTTTTTTTTTTTTTTTTGTGGTGCTAGGGATTGAACCAAGGCCTTGTGCATGCAAGGAAGCACTCTATCAACTGAGCTATATTCCCAACCCCACTACCAAGTCTTATCCTATCAATACTATTAGTCCTATCATATAGATGAGCATACCATATCTCAGAGATAACTCGCCACAGGGTTAGGATATACTAGACAGGTCTTGCACTAGCCATTACACCTGGGATGGTTAGCTCTTTCTCAGTCCCATAGCTAGCTATCTTTGCAAGTTTTAGCTGTGCTTTACACACTGTAACATGCATTTGAGTCACCCCAGGATCTTGTTAAGATGAAGATTGACTCAGCAGGTCTGGGGTAGAGCCTGAGATCTTCTTACCCTGAGAGCAAACTCCCAAGTGATGCTGCTGTTACACAGACCAGACTTCTAGCCTAAACTTAAAACTCAGCAACCTAAAACTAAACCTAAAACTAAAATTTAGCAACCACTTGGTAAACAGTAGTATTTCTAGGAGGGAGGAAAAGCCAACTCGGCTTGCAATACTCAAGTAGCAGAGAAATGCTTTTCTAAATGTACAATAGGACTGCCCATATTTCAAAGCAGGAAGTTTTCATTGTGTAACTAAATTTTCCCTTGATTTTCATGATGGTTTGTTGTTAAGATTGGTCTAGGATTTTTTTTTTGGGGGGGGGGGGAGGGTCGGGATTGAACTCAGAGTCTCCTTACTACTGAGCCACATCCCCAGCCCTTTTTATTTTTTTATTTTGAGATATGCTTAGGGCCTGGCTAAATTGCTGAGGTTGGCTTTGAACTTGTGATCCCCTGCCTGGGCCTCCTAAATTGCTGGGATTACAGGCTTGGGCACGTCTGGATAGTTTAGGGTCTTTTTTTGGGGGGGGGGTATCGGGGACTGAACTCAAGGGCCCTTGACCATTGAGCCACTTCTCTAGCCCTATTTTATATTTTATTTAGAGACAGAGTCTCACTCAGTTGCTTAGTGCCTCGCTGTTGCTGAGACTGGCTTTGAAATCCCAATCTTCCAGTCTCAGCCTCTGGAGCCGCTGGAATTACGGGCTTGCACCAACGCGCCCGGCTGTTTCAGGGTCTTAAAGAATATAGATAATCATTCAATGAAGTCATTCAATAGCGAGGCACATTCATCTGAGTGACGTCCTGGGGATTTGGAACCACCTGTCTGTTAACTTCAGACTCCAGTAGTACTACCTGTGCAGTCCACGCAGCACCTGTGCACGCGGAATGCTGGGGTCTCTCCGCCCACCCCAGATCCACCCAATGAGAGCTCGGGGGAGGGGTGGCGAAATCTGTCCGGCGCCCGCCCCTCTGGAGCGGGAGCCCAAGACCGTGCGCACCGCAGACGTGCGCTCTGGCGCTGAGCTGCGTCCCCAGCCTAGAAATCTGTACCTTTAACAAGTTCTCACCACCCCACTCTCATGCTCAAATGAATCTATTGGGAATTTCTGGGCAAGGTAGTTTTTAGGTCCCGTCCGTCGCTGTCACGTCCCACCGCCTGCCCTGGGAAACTCGCGACACGCTGGGCGCCCGCAGAGGGGGCTGGTCAAGAAAACAGTGAGCCTCCGGGGAACGCCGTACCGATCAGCATGATGACCAAGTTAGCCGCTCCGTACTTCTCTATCTCGTGAATCCAGTGAGGGACCGACTCGAACGTGGACGGCCGCGTGAGGTCGTAGGCGATGATGGCCGCGTGGGCGCTGCGGTAGTAGCTCTGGGTGATGGTGCGGAAGCGCTCCTGGCCCGCCGTGTCCCACACCTGCATCTGCAGAAGGACAGAAGAAGGGCCTTCAGGCGTCCGGCCACACGCGACCTGTTTCCCCCGAGCAACTCGAACGCAGTGTCCTGGGTCTCACTCATTTTCCTGCAGGGCTGGGCGGGGAATCTGTTTTAGTTGTTCCCAGGGTGACTGGGACCGAGGTGCTTTCAGGACTGCATATCACCACCTACAGGATGCTTCCCTGAGAAGCAGAGCATTTGTTCTGTTGACTTCTTACCTCAATGTCCTTAAATCCAGATTTTGGGATTATCTTTTGAGCCTGCCCATTGATGGGGGATGGCATTGGTTGAACTTTTTTTAATGAATTAATTTAAATTATTATTATTATTTGGTACTGGGGATTGAATCTAAGGTGTTTTTCTTTTTTAACCACTGAACCACATTCCCAGCCCCTCCCCCCCCCCTTTCTTAATTTGGAGACGGGGGTCTCACTAAGTTGCTAAGACTTGCCTTGAACCTGTGATCCTCCAAGTTGCTGGGATGACAGTCATGCACCACCGTGCCCAGCTATCTCTTTGGTATCATCTAGTAGCCAGACCATATTAACAATTTCCTGATGATTTCCAAAATATCCATCCCCTGGCCATCAGGGGTTGAACCCAGCATCCCCCACATGCTAGGCAAGTGCTTAGCACAGAGGTAAATCTCCAGCCCTTTTTATTTTTGAGATGAGGCTCCATAAATTGCCCAAGCTGGCCTCAAAGTTGTAATCTTATTCCCTCAGCCTCTCAAGTAGCTGGAATTAGAAGTTCAATTTTTTATTTTATTTTTTTCCTATATGGGATCGAATTCAGGGATGCTCTACCACGGAGATACAACCTTAGCTCACTGGGTTATTTTTTACTTTGAGACAAGGTCTTGCTAAATTTTGCAAGGCGACCTTGAACTAACTTGTGATCATTCTGTCTTAGCCTCTGGAATTGCTAGGATTACAGGTTTGCACCACCATGTTCAGCCCACATTTTTTTTGTGTGTGTGTGTGGTGCTAGGGATTGAACCCAGGGCCTGTGCATGCAAGGCAAGCACTCTACCAACTGAGCTAGATCCCCAGCAGCCCAAAGCCCAAATACCTTTTTACAGTTGTTTTTATTTCATCAAGATCTCAAATAGGACTGGGGTTGTGGTTCAGTGGTAGAGAGCTTGCCTCACATGTGTGAGGAACTGGGTTTGATCCTCGGCAACACATAAAATAAATAAATAAATAAAGATATTGTGTCCACCTACAACTAAAAAAATATTAAAAATAAAAAAGGGGCTGGGTTGTGGCTCAGTGGTAGAGCAGTTGGCTTGCATGTGTGAAGCACTGGGTTCCATTCTCCGCACCACATACAAATAAATGAATAAAATAAAGGTCTGTCAACGATTAAAAAATATTAAAAAAAATAAAAAATATACCCAATAAACACCTGTAATACCAGTAGCTTGGGAGGCTGAGGCAGGAGGATTCTGAGTTCAAAGCTAGCCTCAGTAATTTAGTGAGGCCCTAAGCAACACAGTGAGTCCTTGTCTCTAAATAAAATATAAAAAAGGGCTGGGGATGTGGCTCAGTGTGCTTGGGATCAATCCATGGTTTCAAAAAAACCAAAAACAAACAAACAAAAAACAAATAACCCTCAGCAATTTAGACCCTGTCTCCAAATAAAAAATAAAAAGAGCTGGGCATGGTGGCACATGCCTATAATTCCAGTGGCTCCAGAGGCTGAGGCAGGAGGATCTTGAGTTCAAAGTCAGCCTCAGCAAAAGTGAGGCACTAAGCAACTCAGTGAGACCTGTCCTAAATAAAATACAAAATAGGGCTGGGGATTTGGCTCAGTGGTTGAGTGCCTCTGAGTTCAATCCTTGATACCCAAAAATAAAGAATAAAAAGGACTGGGAATGAAGTTCAATGGTAAAGCGCCCTGGGTTCAATCTCCAGTATGGAAAAAAATCACAAATAAGATCCATTGATTACATTTCACTAACTGTTTTGTTTGTTTGTTTGTTTGGGGGACAGTACTGGGGATTGAACTATGGGAGGTTCTACCCCTGAGCTACATACATCACCAGCCCTTTTTAGTTTTTGAGAGGCCCAGGCTGGCCCTTAACTAGTGATCCTCTTACCTCAACCTCCTGAATCACTAGGATTATAGGCACATCTGGCAAAACATATTATCTTGCACTGATTTTTTTTTTTTTTGCAGGGGGATAGGTACCAGGGATTGAACTCAGGGGCACTGGACCACTGAGCCACATCTCCAGCCCTATTTTGAATTTTATTTAGAGACAGGGTCTCACTGAATTGCTTAGTGCCTTGCTTTTGCTGAGGCTGGCTTTGAACTTGTGATCCTCTTGCCTCAGCCTCCCAAGCCACTGGATTACAGGTGTGTGCCACTACACCCAGCTTGCTGTGATTTAAATTTATATGTTGAGAGTGAGGATGGGCATCTATATTTTAATCTCTGAACTAGTAGTTATAAAGCTTGGAAAATAGTAGGTTTGTCCAGTCTGTGAATTGGCCACTTTTTGTATTTGGTTGTTGGTCTTTTTTTTCTAGATATTTATCAGAGCTCTTTTCACATTAATAAAATTAGCAATTTGTCAGTCTCCTACTGCAAATATTTCCTTACAGTTTGTCCTGCATCTTTTGACTTTGCTTATGGTATTTTTTGAGTATGTGGAATTTTTTTGCCCTTTCCTTTGTTTCCTGTATGGCTTCTGCACTCATGCCTTAATTAAAAGACTCATGTCCCCCATTCCAGGGGGATATGGATGAGCTTCATGTTGGGAACTCTGACTAAAGGAGGCAAAGCAACCCTGTGCTCCTCTCACCTTTACTTTCTTGCCGTCGATCTCCAGGGAGCGCACAGTGAAGTCCACCCCGATGGTGTTCTGCTGTGTCTCAGTGTAGACCCCAGATTTGAAATGCTGAACCACACATGTCTTCCCCACATTAGAATCCCCAATGAGGATAACCTTGAACAAATAGTCAAAGTTCTCATCTGCTGCCCTGGCTGAGCTGTAGAACTGCATGACTCTGATCACCTGGAATAGACCTAAGAAAAGAAGGGATTCAGCTTCTCTCTAGTGAGCACCCACCAGGCAGCAGGCACTGGACACCCAGCAGAAGACAAGACAGAGGGCCATGGTGGCTTTCACAGCTCAAACATTCTCGTGGGCGCGGGATGCTAATGATGGCAGTACCAGACTTCCCCACAAGTCCATACCTTCACCATGTGTTGACAGTGCTTTAGGGGTGCCCTCAGAATGACAAGGTACTGCTGTCATTCTCTGGTGGGTGGAGAATGCCTGTTCTCCAGATCACAGCATTGAGAAAGCCTAGTCCAGGAGACAAGGTGCCCCATGTGCCATCAGAAAGCAAGATGGCAGAGGAAGTGCCCCCAGGAGTGACTTCCCTGCCATTAATCAGGTGGAGGACATGTGTATGTCAGTTTCACTTTGGGGAGAAGCCTCCCAACCACCAGAGGACTTCCTGCCCAGGAAGCCTGAGACAGGACTGAGGAGATTTGACTGGGAGTTACTTCGGGGTCAGTTCAGGGAAGAATGATGTGGTCTAATTATTTATTCATTTACTTGGGTATTGGGGATTGAATCCCGGGGCGCTTTACCTCTGAATTACATTCCCAGCCCTTTTTATTTGTTATTTGAGACAGGGTATAGCTAAGTTGCTTAAGGACTTGCTAAATTGCTGAGGATGGCCTTGAATTTGGAATCCTCCTGTCTCAGTCGCCTGAGTCACTGGGATTACAGGTGTGTGCCACCATGCCCAGCTAATTTAAAAGTGTTTAATGGTAGTGTTTCCCCAAACTAACTGATTATCAGATTTACCTGGGAAGATAATTAAAACATATGTATTCCCAGAACCCATCCCAGATCCATTATATACACTTTAAAACTAAAAAAAACACAAACAGAACATACACATACACATTCCCCAGAAGAGTCTGATGACAAGCCAGGTTTGGGGAACACTCGTTAACATAAGCAATCACCTGAAACTTTATTCTCACCTTTAATATCGCTGTCACTACCTCCTGAAAATGACCCATTGGGCAGCTCTGACTTCTGCGGGGTTGAAACCCATTTCCTTGGGATTTCAGTCTGTCAACCCCAGAGATACCTTTGCTGTGCCAAAACATGTCACATTCCTGTTCCACATGACAGCTCATCAAACACTTGTAGCAGAAAGCTATTCCCTCAAGGTAAACAGCCTTTAACTGTCCTTTATATGATATTGCGTTAGGTCTCCTCATCAGAAATCTCATGAAAGTAAATGAAACCTTATCCTATTTGATGATAAAAATTTGATGTGCTAAAAAAAGTCCCTGTATTGACACTCTTCTTCATTTTCCCCTGACTTATTCTTTTCTCTAACATTATAGAAAAACCAAGTCTAGCTGGGCACATGGCGCATGCCTGTAATCCCAGAGACAGGTGCAGGATTAGGAGGCTAAGGCAGGAGGATCACAAGTTCAAAGCCAGCCTCAGAAACTTAGTGAGACCCTGCCTCGACAGAAAAAAAATAAAACGGGCTGGGGATGTGGCTCAGTGGTTGAGCGCCCTGGGTTCAATCCAAAGTACCAAAAAAAAAAAAAAAATCCAAGTCTATATCATCATAAAAATATCCAGTCTGTATGTAAATATGTAAAACCCAGGGTTTTAAAGGAATCAAAAAAGACCCATATCTTTCTTGGATGCCTTGGATATCACATAAGGCTAAATGATCTAGTAGACAAAAGGCATACTCAAACCACTTTTTTTTTTTTTTATTTCCCTCTGACTTTTCAACTAAGAAAGCCATTCCACTTCCGGTCTCATCACTTGAACTTGAGCTGAAACCTTATTTTCATGTCCCTCCTTCCCTTTCCCCTGTAAGCCCCCAGGGTTTCCACCAAAGCCCTCTGTGACTTAGCCATGTGCTCCACAAGGAGAAACTGAGCCACCCCTTAGCTCACATCCTGCACCTTTACCTTCCTGGCTCACCTGTGGCTTACCTGTCTCCCTCTCTCACCTGTGCTAGCCAGAGGTAATGCTGTCTTCTTCTCCTGGTTTCCTTTGCAGCCCTTGGTGCCCCTTCTTCCTCCTGCCTCGCTGCGTGGTGGGAACTGTAGTTCTGGCCCCAGGTATCAGGTTTTGTGGCCTGAGAAAGTGAAAGGAAAGCAAACACAGTCCCTCCCACCTGCCACAAGCCACCTCAGTCACGGAGGTGACTGGAGCACCCGGAGCCAGCTCCCCTCCAGCAATCACGCTGCCCCTGCTCCTGCACCTGGCATCTGTCATTTCCCCTGGTGTCCCCTGTTTGGCTGGGCTGGGGGTTGTTAGAAGGATACTGAGTCTTAAGTGACTTAATTGCTTTGTCGATTTGAAAAGCTCTTTTTGAGAAGTCCCTGAGAGAGAGGAAGTGAGCAAAGAGGAGGTGAAAAAAAGGACTTTGAAGGTGTGTGTGTGTGAAGAAAGAACGGAACAAAAGTCTCATCTCACTCCAAAATTCTACCACTCAGTGAAGGTTAATCTCTAGGTCTTGGAAAACCTCAAACCTGCAGTTCTGAAGGCTGGTGGTAGATGCGTAGAGCTGAGATGGATTTCTCCTTCTATTCCCCACAGAGTCTAGAATACTAACTGCTTCTCGGAGTCTAGCATAAGGACTAGGTGATCTGGGAGGCTGAGGTAGGAGGATCTCAAGTTGGAGACCTGCCTCAGGAACTTAATGAGATTCTAAGCAATTTAGCAAGACCCTGTCTCAAAATAAAAATCAAAAAGGGCTGAAAATGTAGCTCTGTGGTAAAACACCTCGGGTTCACTTCCCAGTCCAAACAAAACAAAACAAAACAAAACAAAAAAACAAACCAAAACCCCCCAGATTTTCTACATGAGGTAGGTATAGGGCTGTATACCTACATATATGCAGGGTAATATGCATTGCTGTTAAATAGCACCAGGAACAAAATAGAATTGGAAACATCCCGATTGATAAAACACTGAAATTGGTATAGTGTTTTCTAGGAAAGAGTCCCAAATCAACTTGAGTAGGTTGCAATCAGCAGTTTTACAAGAAGAGGTTGGGGGGAAATTCAGAATGTGCATGATTTAATAATGGTAAGTATTGCTTTAGAAAATGTTTGGGTCAGTTGTATACATGCAGTTGTGTATACTGGGAATGAGGTAAAATGTTCTTTCTTGGGCTGGGGATATAGCTCAGTTGGTAGAGTGCTTGCCTTGCATGCACAAGGCCCAGCACCCCATCCTACATGCACACAATGATAAAACAGCATCATTTGGCCATTATTACTCCTCAGCATTTCCTCCTCTCATTACATCTTCCACCCCTTGTTCCAGCCCTTTTTATAAATTTTTATTTTGAGGCTGGGGATATAGATCAGTTGATAGAATGCTTGCCTCACATGCATAAGGCCCTGGGTTCAATATCCAGCACCATAAAAGAAAAAAAATATTTTGAGATAGGGTCTCACTAAAGTTTCTGAGGCTGGCCTCAAACTTGCAGTCCTCATGCCTAAGCCTCCTGAATCGATAGGGATAGGATTACAGACACCACTATGCTGCTGGCAGGTAGAGCAAGAAAACAAACAAAAAAAGACACTGCCAAATGCTGCTCTGCTCTGTGGGCTACTGCTTTTTTTTTTTTTTTTGTGGTGCTGGGGACAGAACCCAGGGCCTAGTATATGCAAGGCAAGCACTCTACCAACTGAGTTATATCCCCAGCCCTGGGCTGCTGCTTTGAGAGCCACCATGACATGTCCTCAACTTAGAAATCAAATGTAGGTCAGGATCTACCACAGAAGCACAGGCTGGGGCAGGAAGTAGACTTGGTATCTGTGTCAAGGAGGTCAGGTGCAAAATATTGTATTTCCTCTGGTAATGGTTGTGGTTAAAAAGTAAGTCAGCTGACAGACCCAGTACTCAGAGAGCACCCAGAGGTAGGAATCAAATGTTAAAAATGTCCAGGTGATTAAAAAATTAAGTCCAGAGATACTGTCTCTCCCTATCCAACCCTCTCCCCCAAGTTGAAAGGGCATTGTGTGGGCTATGGGGAAATTAAGTATTCTTGCCGTGGGTGGAAGTAACAGAGGTTGTGCACTTGTTATCCATGCATAAACATAATCACATGTGCATGTATATATACAAAGAAATGCACAAATATGTACATATATACCACATATTTCACTTTTTTTTTTTTTTTTTACTATTTTCACTTTTTTTGTGTGTGGGTGTATGTGATACTGGAGGTTGAAGCCTGGGACTCAAACGTTAGGCAAGTGCTCTACTATTCAGATATATATATATATATGACTATATAACTATATATAACTATATATATAACTATATATATATAACTATATATATAAATAACTATATATATATAAAACTATATATATATGGTTACATATATATATATATAAAGAACTGTATTTCTGGGGCTGTGATTGTGGCTCAGCGGTAGAGCGCTCCCCTAGCACGGGTGGGGCCCGGATTCGATCCTCAGCACCACATTAAAAAAATAAATAAATAAAATAAAATAAAGGTATTGTGTCCATCTACACCTAAAAAAATATCAACTTCATTTCCCCAACAGTTGAAAGCCCCCAGGAGGCAGCGCACCTTTGCCTTTATTTGCCTAAAGGGACCCTTGCTCAGAGCTGTGTTGTAAGGCTTTAACTTTGCTGAAGGCTACATTGATGTTATTAGGGCAGATGGGGCGTGGTGCAAACAAAACTGTGTATGATACTCACAGACTAAAGGCCCTGCCAAAATGGGCAACTACATCTATTTATTTTTTGGTGGAGCTGCGGATTGAACTCAGGGCATTGTGCATGGGAGGCAAGCACTCTCCAACTGAGCCTTATCCCCAGCCCTAGCAACTGCATTACTTAGTTTAAGCAAAAATTTAATGCTTAGCCAGGTCAGTAGCACAGCAATAAAGAATAAAATTAAAATTAAAAAAATAAAAGAATGGAATAAAAATAAAAATATTCCATAAAAATAAAAATGGAATAATGGTTCGTTGAAAAAAAATCTGTCCGTCCGTTTCCCCCAGCGTTTCAGCTCTGTTTTTCCTCTTGACTTTCTTTGGCCAGCAACCCGGGCGGTGTCCCAAGCCCGGGGCTGGGGCCTCGGCGCCGCGGAAGCTCCTGGTCCGTAGGTAAAGCCGCGCGGCGGGACTACAACTCCCGGCTTGCACCGCGCTCGCGCCCGGAAGCGCTGGCCGCGGCTCCGAGGGTGAGGTGGCGGCAGGGGCGGCGGGCAGCGGCGCGGAGCCGAGCGGAGTCAGCGCGCGGAGCGGCCGGCCGCAGCGGGGGAATCCTGCGGGTCTCGGGTGCGTGAGCTCCAGCGCGTGCAGCCCGAGCCCGGCTGGGGAGGGGACGGGCCCGCGGGGCTCCCGGGACGCGAGGGCGGTGCGGGGCTGGGGGTGCTGGCAGCTGGTGGGTGTGGCGCCCTGGCGCGGCCCTCCGCTCGCCCCCCGGTGGCCCCGCGCGGGCTGTGGGTCCCACGGCGGTTGGGGACCTCCGGGGAGCCGCGGGAAGGGCCCCGTGGCTACCCGCGTCCGGGTCTGAGCCCGCGGGGGGCGGGGGCTTTTGTGCCCCTAGTGGACCCGCCGCGGCCTTGGAGCCCGCGAGGCTCGGACTTCACCAGCAAAGGGCAGGTCCTGAGCCCGGACGAGGGACTGCCCAGTGGCTGGGACGCGGTCGGAAAGGATGCGCAGAGGGCAGAGAGGCTGAGGTCCTGGGTTGTGATTTGGGAATGATCGTGGTCTCAGCCCCGGAATTGACGGCCCTGTGACTCCTCATTCCTCCCTCCACACTGATTTGCAGAGTGTGGTCTGTTTATTCTTAGTTTTGACAGGAGATAATGGGACGTGTGCCCCTGCATCCTGGGGTTCTTGAGACGGTAGGCGACCTGGTGGTACATTGTTACCGAACTGTTTATAGGAAGAATCGTTCCCGGTGGGGAGAATCAGACTTGTTTTTCCTCCTGTGTTGGGGATTGAGCCGAGGGCCTGGTGCGTGCTAGGTAATTGCAGTCAAAGCAAGTGCTCTACCTTTGAGTTACACCCTCAGGCTCCCCCACTTCTTCTTTTTTTTTTCTTTGAGACAGGGGTTTACTAAGTTTCCCAGGTTGGTTTCGACCTTGCCAGCCTGGCAAAGACAACGTTGTTGTCCTTGGAACATGTTCAAAAACAGGAAGAATATGGTTTTGGGAATCCTGAAATAAGATAATTTTACAGATAAATTCTAGGTATTTAACATCTGTGTTATTGAGACAGTTTAAGAAGAGAGAAAAATTACAAAGAGATTTGAGTTTTGAATAAAAAAAGATTTGTGTGGTACAGGTAAAAT